TTCAAAAGACTATGCCTTCTCTACTCAACTGCCTTTGAAGCTAAAAGTCATTAGTTCATATCACTCTAGTTTTGGACTTTATGTTTTGTTCCTTTGATCTTTTTGTCTATCATTCCACTAATATCAGAATATCTTGAAAATGTAGCTTCATAAGTCTTGAAATCAGGTGGTGTTAGTTCTCCAACTTTGCTCTTTTTCATAGTTGTTTCAGTTATTCTAGGAACTTCACGTTTCCATGTGAAGTTTAGAATTAACTTGTCACTTTCTATAGAAAAGCCTACTGGGATTTATATCTGTAAATCAGTTTGGGAAAAATTGACATCTTAACAATATTGAATCATCTGATCCATGAACATGTTATATCTCTCCATTTACTTAGGTCTTCCTTAATTTTTCCCAGCAATATTTTATAATTTTCAGTGTGCAGATGTTCTACATCTTTTGTCAGAGTTTTTCTTAAGTATTTTATACTTTTAATGCTACTCTAAGTAGTGTTTTAAAACTTTAATTTCTCATTATTTGTTGAGAGAAATTAGTTTTTGGTATATTGGTCTTGCACTCTGCAAATTTAGTAAACTCATTTATTAGTTTCAGTAGTTTTTTTTGTAGATTCCATCAGGTTTTCTACATAATCATGTCATTTGCAAAGAAAGTTTTACTTCCTCCTTTCCATTGTGAATTTTATTTATTTGTTTGTTTGTTTGTTATTTATTTTTCTTGCCCTGTTGCACTGGCTAGACCCTTCACTGCAGTATCTAATAGAAATAATGAGTGTGGACATCCTTGCCTGATTGTGGAGAGGAAGCACTTTGTCTTTCCCCATTAGATATGATGTTAGGTTTTTTGTAGAAGGCATTTATCAAGTTGAGGAAGCTTTCTGCCATTCCTAGTTTCCTGCGGACTGGTTTTTTCTTTAATCGGGAATGGATGTTAGATTTTGTCCTATTTTTTCTGTGTCTATTTACATGATCATATGGTTTTTCTTTTTTCGTATTTTAACTTCAATAAATTACATTGATTTTCCGATATTAAACCAAGTTTGCATTACTGAGAAAAACCCTACTTGGTTATGATGTATCATCTTTTTATATATTCCTTGATTTGATAGGCTAAAATTTTGCTAAGAATTTTTTCATCTGTGTTTATGAGAAATATTGGTCCGTAGTCTTCTTTTCTTGTAATGTCACTGTCCAGTTTTGATATGTTGAAAGTTGGCCTTATAAATGATTTGAGAACTATTCCCTCCTCTTCAACATTCTGATAGAGTTTGTGTAAAATTGGTATTAGTTGTTCCTTAAATGTTTGGTAGAATTTACCAGGGAAGCTATGCGGGCTTGAAGCTTTCTTTGTGGGAAGATTTTAAATTGCACATCCAATGTCTTTAATAATGCTATTTAAGTTATGTATTCATTCTCAAGTAAACTTTAGTAGTGCACATCTTTCCAGAAATTCATCCATCCCATCTTGAATTTATTGGTATAAAGCATTTTATTATATTCTCATTATCCTTTCAATACTCGTAGTATTTTTCTGTTTTCCATTTCATTTCTACTTTGACCTTTATTATTTTCTTCCTTCTCTTACGCTATGATTAAATTGTTCTTTTTCTAGTTTAAGGTGGAAGCTGAGGAAGCTGAGTATGGCGTTAGCAATATCCCACATGTTGACGTTTTCAGTTTCAGTCAGTTCAAAATTGTTTCTAATTTCCCTTTGACTTATTCTTTGACTATAAGGTTACTTCGAAGTGTGTTGTTTCATTTCCAAATATTTGGAGATTTTTCAGATTTGTTAATTTCTAATTTAATTCCATTGTGGTCAGAGACATATACTGAATGACTGAAATCATTTTAAATTTATTGAGACTGGTTTTATAGCCAGTAA